CGCGAACGGATCCGTTTGTTCATCATTCGCAATCGGATCGGATACGGAGTTCGCGAACGGACAGAATACGGAGGAATACGGGAAAATGTTCTGTAGTTTTCTGAAAATGGGTCGCGTGCGGTCCGTATGCGGTTCCTATTTCAACCGCGCCTGACCGTCCGTAACGGATTGTTCGCGAATCACCTGTGTATCATTCCTATTCCAGCCACATTAGTCATCCAATGAACTAGAAAATATTTAGAAAAATAGATTCTTCTACACCTTTCTATAAGACTTCGGATGTTTTCGATTTCTTAGAATACACTAGAAGCTTCATTTACCGCTATTCAGGAGAAAAAAAAGTATTCTGACATGGACGATCGGCATCAACGTAACTGATGTTTCAATTTAGGGGGAAATATTTGCGTCAAGGAAACAGTTATTCTCTTACTTTGCTCTGTGCAGATGAAACTAATAGAAATTCTAGAGATTATTGAAACAGCAAAAAATGAGAAAAACAAAAAAATTCATACATTTTGATTTGTGTAAAAAAATATGTAAATTCAGCTATAAGGAAGAAAAAACCATAAACGAAAAATCGCATCGAAAAACGAGTTTCCCTCTACAGGCAGGCTCTCATTGTCAGGAACAAGCAGCCGTTTTCTAGTCCGCGACGGACTCAATTTCCTATTTTTTTTGGATTTCTGATCATGTTCTTCAAAATAAGAGGAAAAATCGACCCATTCTAGAAAAAAAGGTCGCAAATAGTTATCCGAAAACCTAAAAATACAGTATGGAACTTTTCAAGAGCAAGACGCGGACTAGAAAAGTCCTGCTCGTTCCTAAGGACCCAGTCATGAAAAAAACTTGTTTTCATTGAGTTTTTCTCCCTTTGAAATGTTGGTTTTCTTTTTAATATTTTGTGAATATTTTACTTCTGCACAAAAATGAGACAATAAGGAAGTCATACAAGAAAGTCGGGAGTCATTGTAATATCGCTAACTGAATATCAGTAGAATGAAACGTCCACGAAACATAAATATTAGGAAGATGAACGATTCGAAAAACATTTAAATAAAACTAATCTAGCACAAAACACAACGCAAAAAATCCACATAAAGTTATGAATCCGAATCCTAGGACTACCTACTCTTTTATACAGAAAAACTGAATGAATAGTCGTTTTGATGAGTAACATTTTCTCGTCTCCGAAGATTTTTACTTTATTCAAGCGGTGGCCTTTTCAAAGGAACATTCTGGATTTCTTTGAATTCACATCTGATTATTCGTGCCACAGAGATTGATCAAGAGAGTTTAGGACTATGACGAATAAGTGGTAAATCAACGTTTAGTTCAAAAAGGAAAAGTCTGGGATAAAACATCTTCCAGAGATCTGGGTCTTCCTGGAAATGAGTATAAGATGAAGAATAAAGTTCTCTTGGTTCTTGGTCATATTGTTTTGACTCAAAATGTTTAAGTCCAAAAATTAGTGGGTCATCTAATGTCAGTGAATCGAAAAAATTAATCTGCAGGTTTTTTGATAACATGAGTTTTCTAGAAAAAATTTTGGGCTCATAATGATGTGTATGTTGGGGGACATGATACTTGTTTTGAAAAAGTGTATTGTCTAATTTTATAGAGCACAACTCCTGCTCCGTGAGCATTTTACTCGAAGAGCTTGTTCAAATCATCCACGTGGATCTTCCTCTTTGGGCACTGGCGGAGCTGACAGACATAGTGACAGCTAGAGAGGTGGTTTGAATTGTGGGGCACCTCTTGTGGAGTTATTCCTCATAACATCCTTTTTTATTTCAACAAGTTTTTTTTCTTTTGTCCAAACGATAAAAGTTAATTGTTTAATGATCATTTTAAATATTTTGTCATTCTTAGACCTATTGACGAACCCCCTGGGAAGCAGCAAACGAGCCATCCCGATGAGAGAGAAGACGTGTAACATAAACTGTCAGCTGTAAACTGTCTTGAAGTGTCGCAGATAGTGATGAGGTGCAGACGGGAACAATAAAAAGCGTCAATGGAATGACAGAGTCACACTCTTTATTCGAATGCAATTAGAGGATTTAGGTTACCGATCTCGTGGGAAAATTCAAGGGAAACAGTCAAACGAAAGAGAAATACACAGATCAAAAATGTTCCGCATCGAAAAGTAAAAAAAAATCCACAATTCGGGGGTGCAAAATTTGAATTTCCAAATGTCAGATTTGGCATCGCGCAACCACGCTCCACGGAAAAAAACCGATTGCAAATAGCTGATTAGCGGAGGAGAGCGTGCAAAATAATTTTCATTCATATTTTTTCCTTAATTGACAAACCAATATTTCCCAGCTCTTTTCCTTCTTTTGCAAAACAAAATTTCCAGCACATGCTCTAGCTAAAAGTTCAAACTGGAAGCATTTTGTCCAGCAGAGCGCGGTTGTGCGACGCCAAGATGTTCGGTATGAAAACCCGTTTTCCTATTATCTATTATCAGTTTAGATACTCTCACAATGGAAAAACAATTATTTTGCTTTTTGAGCCATTTTTTGTCTGAAATAACTGTTTTTGCATTCAAAATGTGTGACCTAATTATTATTTCCAAAAACATCGCTAAATTGAAAAAATATGTGCGGACGGGCAACTTTTGTGCCAAAAGTTGGCTGCGTGCCAGTTTTTGAATTTCTAACGCGTCTCAAGCGCTGTTGAGTATTTATTTAGTTGGCGACCGCTATGCCGACACGCGACGCGTCCGAAATTGGCTTGGTGCCAAGTTTCAAATCGAAGTTCTATTCCGCGATGTCGTGAACCGGTTTTCCCTGCAAACTTTCCAAATCGAAAAATTTGGCTCAGCGCAACAGATTTGCTGATGAGAGCGTGCACTGGTTAAAAATGTTGTCCACCTAATATATTGTTCTTGATTGACAATTCAAAAATTTTCCTGCTATGTTTGTACTGCCAAAACCAAACAATCTGTGATTGTAAAGTGATTAATAATAAACAATCGGTAACAGTAATTTTTTAAAGTTTCATCTGTTCTGAACAAAGAATTGCTATTTCGACATGTTTATCGTGTATTTGCTTGAAGATGTGCCGGTAGATAAGTTTATTGCTCCCCAATATATGTTTGAAACTCTATCCAAGTGCCGTTATCTGACAGCTAAATCTAATTGTGCACGAATGAAGGGTGTCACTGTGTAAAACATTCCCAGAGTACAGACACTCCCGCTCAAACAACGCACCAGGTGGGACGTCTTTGCCCCGCCTCCTTTCGATGGATATTGATTGGAAATCAATAGAGGTCTATAAATAGAGGTGTCGCTCGCTCACAGTCAGTCAGTTCCTCATTCGAGATTCATTATTCCGTTCTTGGTTACTCGCTTTTCTTTTCTTCTTGACCTCCCAGAATATTGTTATTGATTTCAATACTAATTTTCAGTTTGCAACATGTCTGTCAACATTGCCAATGTCCCAAGCTCTTCCAATGGACAAGCTCGTACAGAGTCTCAGAAGCTGGTGGATGAGGCTCGCCGAGAAGCCGACGAGAGCTACCAAAATTTCCACAATGCACGCGAAAGAGTCTACGAAATTCAGTACGAACTGTTGGCTGCGTATGATCAGGAGGAGGCGTTCGAGGCGAAGATCAAGAAGGGACCAAGAGGTTCGGAAATGGAAAAACTCCAACAACAACATCGCGCAGCTGAGGTCGAGGTGGGCAAGGTCCAGCAACGTCTTGATAAGGCCGTCGAAGACAGAAAGGAGCTGTTTGTGCTGATGGAGGCGGAGGAAATGAAGTACGAATGGATCAAGAGCATTTACGGAGCCAACCAAGCCAACGCCGAAGCCAATTAGATCCCGAATCTCGCCGATCATCATTTGGATCTATCTCCTCTTTTCTTTTCCCTTTTTTCTCTTTTCTCCCTTTTCGAATTTGATCTCCCTGTTTTTTGTTTTCCCTGAAGAATAAATGAATTCCCTTTGAGAATGTGTTCTGTTATTATAAAAAGAAACGTCTACAGCAAGACACACATTGTTTCCCACAGAGTCGGAGAGTTCCTCTGGGAAGATAAATGCTCCCTCTTAGGAAAAAAGGTGGAAAATGAATCAAATGGTCTTGAATGAGATAATAACGATGCTCCTTTCTTCTAGCAAACATACAGTATGTTTTCCGCATTGTTCGTTGGCAAGTCGCCAATCTTCTGTCCTCGTTGTCTAGCAGTTCTTCATCTTGGTCGTCTAGCTTGCCTACCTACTTTCTTCTGGTGGGGTTTCTAGGATATCTAGCTTGGTGGATTACATTTCTCTAAGGGTGTTTGTAAGACATATAACACCTAACTTTTCCGGCTTTGATTATCCAGGAACTTCAGCTTGGTGGCCTAGTTTTCCCACATAGAGTTTCAAGTCTATCTATCTTGGTGGCCTAACTTTTTTAAAACAACTTTTCTAGGTCATTAAGCTTGGTGGCCTATCTTTCTCCAAGTTAGGTTTCTAGACAATCTGGCTTGGTAGGAAAGTTCCTCTGCTATCACTTTCTCATACTCTTCGATAGCCACATAGATGCGTTGCTGCACTTTTTCCACTTTGCTCTCACTATCAGCCCGGTATTGTTGTTGAAGAGCTATCTTGACAGACTTTTTGAGTTTTCAAAACACAGAAACCATCTCAAAATTAACTGTAAACCACTTTATTGAACAAAACATTTATCCGATGACATGAATATGACTGGTGTAATTTTGAGGGGTCGATGATGTTTCTCCCGGTTCAACATTAGCCATTTTGAAGAACGAATGCTTGATAAATTTACGATAAGGTGTTACGAAAATGAAAGAAGCTAGTGGGGATAAGAATGGAATCAGAAGGAATGAGGAAAACGTGAAGTATTCGAGAGCAGGGTGATTGTAGATTCCGAACTGTCCGATGGCATATGAAGCAATACTGAAGAGATAGAAACCAGGGATAACGGCTTGATACGCGAGGGCCTGGAAAAATAAGTTTTGTTGTTTTCAAGTTGACAAATTTAAGCTAACCATCAACAACTGAGAATGCAAATTCTTCGTATCCTTAGTAATATTGACTCCTTGGAAGCTCAACCTCGATATTATTTTTCTTCTCAAAATCAGAATACAAATATAGACAGGGGTGATTGGGATAGTCATGTGGAGAATTGTGTACAAAGCAGAGAAGCAGAGGATGTTGCTGGTTCCGGTTACAGTATGACCAGTCAAGTTGTACGATGGGAATGCCTCGTGCAAAATTTCTCTGAGCTCTTCTGGATCGTCTTGAGCCCAGAGGAAAGAAACCCACTGGAATAGTGATGGAATATAGATCACACAAAGAATAATGACTAGAGTTTTTCGAGTCGGAGCAGGTTTGAAGAGAATATAGTAGCGATAGGAAAAGGAGAGTAGAAGGGACCATAGGGAGTGAGACAGGAAGTGGAGCATCAGGCTGTATCTGAAATAATATTTTTTAATATTACTGTTTTATAGCAATTGTAAGTCTATGATCCTGTTTTTCTGCTAGTGAATTCTAGTCATGTATTGCGATTACATATTTTAGACTTACGCCACATAACACGTTCTTGGTCCGAAACGACTACAGTAACCATTTGAAACATAAGCCAGTGTTAATCCAGTGGAATAAGTCTTTGTTGCACTAAAAAATCGAACATGCATGCAAAGAAATCAGTGACAGCAAAGTTTACAATCAGTGTGGAATAGGACTTGATGACCCGAGGAGTTTGGAATAGAGCCAGATAGGCTAGAAGAAGATTGAACGTCATTCCGAGGAACGAGATGATGGCATGTGCGGAGGAGAAGACGATCGCGAAGTCGATCATCGTTCTGAAAGCTTATTTTGAACAAATTTTCAGATGAACAGAAAAGTAACTATTATATATGAACGAAATAGCGAATTTATATCGGATTGTCTATGAATAAAGTATGATCACCTACAAAAATTTTCGAAAGTCTCAAAGATTGATAGAAATGTATTTTTTATCAAGAAATCAATTCCCGATACAAAAAAAAACTGTGATTCATTTTCAAAAGTCTAAGATCAAAGGTAGAAAAAAATAAACCCAAAAATTATAAATTATCTCCTAACCCACCAATCCCTGGTTTTTATACACCCGCCTTCCTTAAATCCTTTTTTATTATTCTTTTGTTCTAAATAAAGGTATTGTTCGTAGCTTTTAGTACTTATGACTAATGAGTAAGATCGGTCGATTTCTTTTTTTTTTGGTTGCTTTCATGATAAGGTTCAGAGCTCATCGAATATTAGCTTAAGCTTAAGATAAATACATTTATTTAGAGTAGGTTTAGATATATTACTTAAGTGATTCCTTAATCTAGGATCTTGTGCATTTTCACGTGGATGGATGATCACTATTTTAGCGGGCTCCGAATGACTACAAATGGATTATACGATCATCATGAACTGTTCTCTGGGTCCATTTTTACTTCACAAAGGGCATATGGATAAGGAAGGGATTTAACAAAGAAATGACCAAGATCAATAGTTCGAATTCTCTTTATCGATTCAAGAAGTCTATAACCCCGCACAAATCTTTGTATAAATAGGTCGAACATGTTCAATTCCATGAGCAGAAACATGAAGAGTAGTTGTGAAATACAAGAATCCTTTGGAATCAAAAAACTGAAACGTATTCATTGTTTGGTTCCAGAATGCATCCACGTAGTCAATCAGTTCACATTTTGATCCACATTCATTTTTTACCAATTCAGCATGACGACGACGTCCCCATTCAAATTGTTTCGGTTCGTACAACGACATCTGGAAAATCAGAGACAATCAGGAATGTAAGCCACCAGTCGGTTTACGTTGCTGGACTCCTCTTACCATTAACCCTCGTACCCGTAATCTCGTCCCCCTAATCTTATGAATAGGTTCGTCATTTATTATTCTGGGTTAAAAAATTGAAAATTAGAAATTCAGAGTTTCAGAAAGAGTTAATTTGGAAGCATACAGGGTGGCAAAAGTTTGTGCAATCATAAAATTTGAATGAAGCGTTTTACTGGGCTGAAATTTTTTGTGCAACTTATGAAATCACGAAAATGGCCCTTTTAGTGCAAATTAAACATGAAGATATTTTAATTACCAGGGGACTCGTACTGTGATCACCAACAACATAAGCTTTGGAATGTACGCGGCTTATCTGTATTTTTAGGTCAACTTTCCCTATCCATAAAAACTTCAGTAATAATAGCGAGTGGCTGAAATTTGCCACTTATCAAGATCAACTTTCTATAAATCATCTGCGAAAATTTGAGGTTGCTACAAAAGCAATAAAATTGGTAGCCACTAGTTTTCCAAAGAGGCCAAAATTAGTGAATTTTCAGTTTTTTGAAGTAAATTGGCATAACGACCTAATATTTATGTCTTTGGGTGTTTCAATTTTGTTAAAATTCCATCCGAATTGGTTATAAAAATTTGTAGCCCTGTCAACGAATCGTTTTTTGGAGTTCGGTTTACAAGGCAAAATTTAACTGGAATTCTAAGTCAGATGTAGGTTGACTATTAGAGTGATACCTCTGGACAGATTCATTAAATAAACGTGAAATTATGTATGAAAACCATACTTATATGTATCTTACGTTAGACAAAATTTCAGTCGAATCGTACAATCTAGCATTTAGTTACATCAGCACAAATCAGGAAACAGAGGCGTGCAAGAAACATTTCGCCGTTCGTCTTCGGGCAATCATAAAAACACTGAAACTTGAGCAAACGTTTTGAAAATTTGAGTACATGTGTACCAACTTTGGGGTTACATTTCTGCCAATTTTCATGTTTCTATCATACTTATGTCTGAAGATATACCCGTTTTCATTTGTGTAAGTAATTATGCGCCACCCTGTATAATTCCGGTAACTTCGAAATCTCATAATTTACCGATAGTTCGAATTTCGGAATTCCAGAACTCCCGCATTTATCACTTTCTGATTTTTTTTGAAAATTTAAAAGTTTCGCAGCTCCGGTAGTTCGAATTTAGAGATTCGAATACAAAAAAACTTCAGAAACTCGAAATTCGATAATTCAAAAACTCAGAAGTTCAGTTAAGAAAGACGTATGAATCATATGTCTGTCACTCACATTGATTTCCTCCATTGTCTTTTTTCCCTCCTTCATTTCTCTTGCAATATTCTCAATTCCTTCCGGATGAATTCTCGGGAACGAATCCAAAATGAACAACTTCCTTTTGATATTCGGAAGCATTTTTCTTAATTGATCCCTCATTTCCAAATAAATTGTATCATTATTCAAATTATCCGGCCCATTATCATATGGTTCTGCTACGGCGAACCATCTGAATTTTTCTTTGTTACATTTTCCCATAAACGCTCTTTACCTAGTCATCATGAATGCATAATCCGGTTGAGTCTCATTGATAAACTCCACGAATTCTTCCAACCTACTCGAGCATTCTTGTGTCCAATCTGTTGAGAACTTTCCATTATCAACAGGCTTCCTAGGAGCAGCAAGTGGTTCGCAACCTTTAAATAATTTTTCTTAACACTGAGGCATTCCTTACAGCCCTCACCTGTGACATCAGCCATTGAAATAGTGCTCGCCCGATGTCTACACTCTTGAATAATCATCTTATGGTGGTTCTTAGCGTAGCTGCTACCCAGTATTGCTATTTTGAATTCAGTGCCGTTTTCTTTAAAATCACAACCTAACCTGCCTGGTTGTCGTTTGATACATCCAGGCTCTCTTAACTCTGGAGCCGTATGATCCCGGTAGTTCCAGTAGGCATTCAATCGAGCAGCGTCATCTGAAAGAGATTTCAAAAGTTTTGGGTTTTGTTGTTGATGTGTACCGAAAGTCATATTTGAATTCACTCCATCTAGTCTGAGAAACTTCCGATCAGGCGAACTGAAATTATTATCATTGATTATCAACTCACTTTTCATCCACCTACATTTCAGATTCAGGCTTTTCCCTCAAGTACTCTCGAATGTCATCCCAGTTGATATAGATCGCATTGACTACAAACAGGTACACTATTAAAACGCTGATAATTTTATTAGACTGCTTCAAGTACCATCTAATTTTCATAATTGTTTTAAAAAACTATTTTATTCATGTCACTGACCTCTCATAAGTCTGATTCACCAGTATAGCCAAAAGAGTCGACAGGATGAAAGCTGATGTAAGAATACATGTGTTTGATGGATACGACAATTTGACATAAGCATAGATTGGCCAATGAATTAGATAAAGGGCATAGGATGTGTCTCCGATGTAGATCAAAAATCGAGAATTCAAAACCACATCTTCCACATCTAGTAATATTAAAATGCCAGTGAAAATAGTAATAACAAATCTGGAATCGTCAGTTAACTACTCATTGGAAGTTTATGTGTTTTCCAACCTTACGGATAGAGTATTTAGTTGGAACGGAGAAAAAACAACCAGTATCATCAAAATCAAAATTATTAATTTGATTCTCAGAATGTGTCTTTTACTATATTTGACACTCTCCATTTCTTCTAACATACTCTGGTCAGATATAAAATATGCCATCATCCCAATTAAAAATTGCCATATTCTAGCAAAAACATTGTTAAATGAAACTGATTGCGGAGATGAGACGTAGAAGATGAATGAAAAGGCTTCTGAAGATTTTAAAAATTGTTTAAAAGATTTTTTGTATAGACCTATGAGTGAATAATAGATGTATCTGGATGCCCCTTTTAATTGATGACCAATTAAGAAAATGAATGGAACAATGAAATAGAATTGAATCTCGACTGATAGAGACCAAGTATGCGTGAATAGATCCATGGCAACTGCGAGCTGAAAGTAACCGGATAGTTTGAATGCTTGCTTGGTCTAATTAAACCTTTTCGAAATAGTCTTCATCTTCCGTATGCGGCCTGTTAGATGTGAATATCAATGCTTTTCCAGCGGACATTTGATTTTGGAATATTGCAGATGTTGGAAAAACTGTGTAGAGAGCAAAAACCGTGAAAAGAATGATGAGAAAATACAAGGGAAGTATCCGTTTGAAACGACGAGTGTAGAATTGAATGAAGAAGGGAAATATTGGAAGTTGTTCAGATTTCGTGAGCATCATACACATTAGAAACCCCGAAAGAACAAAGAATCTGAAATTTCAGATATTGAGAGAAATATTCTTTAGTTTAAAACTCACTGATCAACTCCTAAATATCCATTTGGAAATTGAACGGGATAAAAATGAAAACCGAGAACCGAGAGAATAGCCAAACCTCGAATACCTTGGAAATCATCTCTTTTTGAGGTCTTCTGTTTTGAAGGTGTCACATCGAAACCCATTTTTGAATGAATGTTTTGTATTGGCCTAATTTTGTAAAAATAGAAGTTTGTAGAAGGAACGAAAATGAATGCATCTTGTCTGTTGTATTTTTTCTGTTATTTTTCCAGTTCCAATGCATTTTCCTTTTCTCGAAGATTTATCTCCTTGTCTCCAATGCCTCTGAACTTTTTGTTATATTTTAGACGCGGAAAAAGATCGGGCAATCCGATTCGAAGATCTTGGATATCGTTGGAACGACAAATTCAAAGTTTGTTGGAGTTGGTGATGTGAAGAAGAGGCCGACTTTAAAAATTTAAGCAGTAAAAATAACTTTGAAAAGAAAAATAGATTTTTTACATATCGGGTGTTCAATGAAATTATGAACTCGGCTGTAGCTTGAAACCAAAGAGCCTTACAGATTTTTCTATGTAAAAAATGTTTCGCAAAAGAGTAGTAAATATGTAAGGTATTATTTAAATATGTAAGTTTTAAAAACGAGTTTTCATGATTTATTTGTTTGCAGTTTTTTTCCTCAGATTTTCCTTCTTTTGAGACTCCACATCGTCCTAAAGATTTATCTCACTGCCTCCTGTTCCCGACCGTTTCCTTTCATCGTTGAAACGAAAAAGATCATTCTCACAGATTCGCTCTGCAGGTGAAATCTTTTGTCATGAATCCAGTTGGCGAGACCGCTAGGCGCAGTATACAAGGGTTCTTCGAAAAATGGTACATCTAGATCTTACTATTAGGGTTTAGTTAGGGTTCGTTGGTTTCAAGAGTACATGAGATTTACAGGGTGGCTAATAAATACTGATACACATTCAAGACGTCATAACTTTTTTGAAAAACATTGACAACTGTTGAAATTTTAACAGTAGCATATTCCAATGATAGAGAAACAAAATTAATATATAGTTTTCAAATATTGCATCATCGGCTTAGATGGCAGCTCGATTCCTTCCGTTTTTTTGGTCAAACCTCCTACAAATCTCGCACAAGTTTAGCTCTCTTCGAAACTGCGACACTTCAAATGTAGGCATTTCGAAACTGTGGTAATACAAGCAAATTAAAAAAATTCAGACTACATAAAAAAAATTAGGGTTTTCAAATGTTTTTTCTGGTAGAATAAATTCTGAAACTTGAAAAAAATATTTAAAAACTGAAATTTGAGATTTTTTGGATTTCAGAATGTTTTCTCTCAGAAAAAGTATATCCGAAAACTGTTTTTGTTGCCGAGGTCCTGAAAACACCACAAATTGTTTGTCTCGAATTGGTGAGCTATGACTGACACTAATTTTTATTTCAATGAACATTTTTGAAAAGAACTACAAATAAGAACAAATTTTGTTGTATATCGGTCGAACGTGTTCCAGTCCATGAGCTGATACATGATTGATACCTGTGAAATATGTAAATCCTTTAGTATCAAAATACTGGAACGCATTCATTGTTTTGTTCCAGAATGCATCTACGTAATCAATCAACTCGCATTTCGATCCACATTCATTCTTCACCAATCTGGAGTGACGATGACGTCCTCTTTCATAATTGAACGGATCGTATAACGATTTCTGTTTTTAAAAATCAGTTAAAAGCTCTGATGAATCTTAACACACTCACATTGATTTCTTCCATTGTTTTCTTTCCTTCTTTTATTCCATCAGCAATATTTTCAATTTCCCCCCACCAAATTCTTGGAAACGAATCCAGAATGAACAACTTCTTTTTGATATTAGGAAGCATTTTCTTCAATTGGCTCTTCATTTCCAAGTACACTGCATCATTATTTAAGTGATCTGGTCCATTGTCATATGGTTCTGCTACGGCGAAAAATCTGAAAAAATTCAAGATTAAATTTTCTAATTTTCTAATCTTATAAAATTTCCAATTAAAATTACCTCGACATGATAAATGCGTAATCCGGTTGAGTTGTATTCAGGAAGTCCACAAACATATTCAGATGTTTGACACAATCGGGTGCCCAGAGTTGTGCAGAAACGACATTTTCCACTGGTCTATGAGGAGCAGCAAGCGGCTCACAACCTAAACTCGCTGTATATAAATATCCATAACATTTTCAAGTTTACCCATGACATCAGCCGTTGCGAAAGTAGTAGCGCGATGTCTACACTCTTGAATAATCAATTTATAGTGATTTCGAGCATAGCTACTTCCCAGGATAGCTATTTTGTACTCAGTTCCATTACCCGGATACTCACACCAGTTTTCATTCGAAAATTTATGAACACATCCAGCTTCTAAGAGCTTAGGATCTCGGATATCGCGATAGTTCCAATGTTTATTCAATCTTTTGGCGTCGTCTGAAAACAGATTTCATGGTTCAGGTAACTTTTTTTTGATATTCACCGAATGTCATTTTTGGTGTCACTCCGTCCAATCTTGGATATTTTCTACAAGATAATCTAGAAAGTTATTCATGTTTTGGAATCAACAATGGTTTCAAATCTTACACAGGATCAGTTCTATCCAAACACTCTTGAATTTGATCCCAGTTGATACAATTTGCATTTACAGAAAATAAAATAATTACCAAAATTACAATCATATTGTTCGATTGTCTTAAATACCATCTGAAGTAATATTTTTTTGATTGTTTGTTTGTACGTTTGTTTGGAGATAGATAATTTAGCAACCAACCGTTCGTAGGTATGATGAACCAGTATTGCCAAAAGAATCGATATTATAAGTGCTGATGTAAGAATCCATGTGTTTTCAGGATACGTCAGTTTGAAGTAGGCATAAATTGGCCAATGAATCAGATAAAGTGCATAGGATATATCTCTAAAAATCGAGAATTCAGAAGACCATCTTCCATATCCAATACAATCAAGATTCCAGTGAAAATTGTAATTAATACTCTGAAACAATGTTAATACTTTCTACACCTTCTTCTAATGATTTACCTCGCTCCAACTGGAATAATTTCATTAGGGGCCAACATCATCATAACTGATACAACTAGAGCAATACTTTTCACCCAAAGACTTTTTTCCGATCCTTCTGATTTTCTGACATTTTCATTCTCTTCTAATAACTGCTCAGTTTCAGTCTCCACAGTTTCCAATGGCTCATAGAAAACTGAATTGCTTTTCCGGGCATCGGCAATAAAGTAAGTTATCATTCCAACTGAAAACTGCCAAATTCTTGCAAAAACACTGTTAAAAGCAATGGAAGTTGGAGAAGCGGCGTGGTAGGCTAATGATAAAATAGCTGAAATTCGAGAAATGCCGTATGAGATTTTACTCAAATATCGGGGTATTTCTGAAGTTGAACGTATACATTCAGATAGAAACGATCCGGTGCCGTTCAAATGGTGCCAAATTTTGGTCGAAAACTGAAGATTATTCTTGATTGAGATAAGGATTGTCCAATTGTTAACTTTTTTCCAAGAAATTTTGAAACTTTTTAAAAATCTTCAAAACTGGAACAAAAATGAAACGAGTTAGAATTTTTGTCTCAATTCCCAAATTACTCAAAATAACAGGAATAAACTCTAATCATCATCTCAATCGAGAAGGATTTCCCGTTTTTGACCGAATTTGATAGTAGTAAGGACGGAACCTGATAGCACTGCGAACGAGAATTTCGCATGGAGACCAATTTTCATTTTTATGTGTAGCACTACTTTTAGTTTGGGCAGAGAGCCCCTTTTTGAAATTTAGAGGCTCGCAAAATGCCAAAAATGTAAAAAAAAAACATCGGGTAGTTTTGAAACTTCAGAGGCTAACTTCAATTTAAAATATTTCTGATAGATCATACGTACAAAGACATGCATAATAAATGTCTTTCGATCCCCCTTTTAATTGATGACCAATTAAGAAAATGAATGGAACAATGAAATAAAATTGAATCTCAACCGATAGTGACCAAGTATGGGTGAATAAATCCATGGCTACTGCAAGCTGAAATTAATTTGACTGCTTAAAAAAGTCTCTTGAATTTCAAAACCTTCTCGAAATAGTCTTCATCTTCAGTGTGAGCTCTGTTAGATGTGAATATCAATGCTTTTTTCACATTAGAAACCCCGAAAGAACAAAGAATCTGAAATTTCAGATACTGAGAGAAATATTCGTTAGTTTAAAACTCACTGATCGACTCCTAAATATCCATTTGGAAATTGATCGGGATAAAAATGAAATCCAAGAACCGAGAGAATAGCCAAACCTCGAATACCTTGTAAATCATCTCGCTTTGAGTTATTTTGTTTTGAAGGTGTCACATCACCCATTTTTGAATGAATGTTTTGAGTGAATGGACGCCTTCTTGAAGCTCAAGGATCCAAATGGAATGCATCTCATCTATTTCATTTTTTCAGTCATTTTTCCCGTTTCAAAAATGATCCCTCCTTTCGATATTCCTAATAGATTCCTCTCATGGTCTTTTTGTTTCATTGCAAATTCGGAAAAGATTGCGCCATGAGATTTGAAGATCTTGGACTAAAGCTGAATGAGTTTTTCAATGGGATCGAAGAAGCGAAGAATAGAAATCGTCTGAAGTTTATGATTTTTTCAGTAAAAATCGTATTTTCCTCCGATGAAGAGTGAGCCTATGCTTGGGAAAACTTCTGAACTTATCAACTACTGCAAATATGAATGTTTTGATCACAAAACTATTTTTCAATATAATGTAAAATCAACTTCATACGAGGTATATAATCTTGGACATGGAACTTTTGGTGCTTGTGGTTGGTATCCATCTCATTATTTTCAAAGGAGTAGTGTGCTCAATTTTATCTCCATGTAAAAAAAATTCTTTGGCGTTTTCAGAGGGCCCTAAAAACAAGGTTTTCTGTCGTTCAAACTCGACCGTCCCCGGCAACTTTTAAGAGTAATCTGTTTAGAGTAGTTTGACTTTGCTTAAAGTTTTTGAAATTCTCAGAAAAATTTAATATTTTCTAAACACTATGCTGGTATTAGGAGGACAAATTTTCACAA